TTTTTTTTTCAAAGTGTTTATTGCGTTTAGTCGCCTAATACGGACGCCCGGCGCTCGGGGTTTGGGCTTTTTGTTGAAGGCTGTTTAAAGATTATTAATTTGTTTTTGGGGGAGAGCATGTCGCGTGGGGAGAACCGCATTTCGACGCGGGGTTTTCCAATTACCAAGCCGCCGTTATTCGCAGGCCAAACGACTCGGCGTTTTCCTAAGTGACTTCGAATGGGTTCATACACTCCCTGTCGGGGTCGGACTCGGGTATTCTAATGCCACTGTTATATGGGTTTGGCCGTTGGCCGATTTTTAAAAGTTTTCTGCTCTTCGTTAGATGTATCTCCGACCTCCGTTTTGTCTGCATGTTGTCTAAGTACCGAATGTGCATTACACACCGGCCTAGTCGGTCATCCACGGATCAATTGCCCTGAGAATGACGGACAGGTGCCCGCCGTATCAAGATGTGTCCACCGCCTTCGTCTCAACTGTATGCACCCCTCGACCTCCGTGAAAATCTGCGGTTAACAACCACAGACTGAATTCCACCAGGCCACACATGACGCGAACCTATCGAGCAGCGTCCACGCGCGAAACAAGTGCCTTTCACACATCCAAAAGCGTGTTCGTTATCGCCTCAACATGGTACTCTGGCACACATGAGAGCTGAGCCCCATAACTCTATGGAAACCTGGTACTTTGTGTGTGGCACTGATTGCCTACGCCCAATCCCCGCACCGACCCGGCTAATAAAATGGTACCTGTGAAAGGGAGACAAGTAACGTTGACTGGATAATTCATCCTTCGCTGTAAGCGTTGTTGGGCATCTCGTGGAATGTTTGGACAAGGCCAATGTTGGGGAGAGTAAACTTGATCTGATAAGACTCCGAACACGCGGAACGAGATGATAGGCAGGCGTGGTGACATTTTACAAAGGCTTGCGGTCAGCACGGGGCTGTCAGTCACAGCGGAGAATAATTATAAACAAGCACTACTGAAAGATATCGAGTAGTATGTTTATAAAATGTAAATAGTCGATGGCGTCCTGTAACGATTGCCTAGTGCTAATCTCAGATGTCATGGTGTCTATACTGGTAAAACTTCATATTAATCGTGTCAACGGATGGGGACATGAAAATATCCGCAGGCAGAACATTCCACATCTGAATTACTATCTTAGAGAAGAATTTTCGTGGTCCAATCTCGCCCATAGGGCCGAGAACGGAGCCCTCGGGAACTCTACTCCCAACTAACGGATGATAACCGCCCGAACGATATACACAGAATCGGATTGGTGGCGACCATACGTACGGGCTCGTGAAATGCAAGTGAATGGTATGAGTGTGGACAGTATCGTGCGGTGGAGTAGAGGCGTTGAAGTTGGGACGGATGTGGTTGGTGTATTTGTTGGGAGGCTGTCAACATCGCTTATCCAGGACGGCAATTGGACATAACATCCTAGAGATAAGGATACTATTGATGGCAAAATTAGCTGCATGATCGTGATTTGGAACTGGTATGGTCAATCACGATTTTGAAACTGGTAACGACATCTGAACCAGGACTAGCACAAAGAAACTAAGACGTAGGGAAAATATGACGAAAACATGGAGTGGGGCACCGAAGGTAGCGATCACGGAGTAGTTGACTATTTCAAAGAAGGGGAGAGGTTGTGACACCGAATGTTCCCTGTTATACAAGGAATAAAGGCCAGCTAGGTTGATAGAAAATAACTTGAGAAGTTTAACTCACAAAAGACTTAAGGCCTGGTGAGTTAGACGAGTTACGCGGTGGCTTGTCCATCTACGTGACCACTTCTGTCTGCACTGCTATAGACCAAAACGCTGGTTCGGCATACTGTTCCTCATGATGGTTTCCCCTATGACACCAAAACCTAAGGCGCATATAAATGATTTCGGGTGTCCTGCTCCCCAAATATATTCTGTTCATTTGTCTGATTAAAAGCCAGGCAAACAATAGGCTAACCTCGACCCCTGACGTTTTGCTAATAAAAGCTGGATTTTGAAGCAATGACACTGAACCGCGGTCGCGCAAGGAAATGCAAATTGTCCCTAAAGCGGTGTATTACATATCTACTGACAGCCATGAAGGTACGTGACCCGCTACCCCTACTACAGACCAAACAGCTAGCTAGCGGTTCCCCAAGACTGATAGTTTACACTTTAGACAGAAGAATGACTGATTTGAGAAAATTCATATTGAACACAAGTAATAAACATGAATCAGGTACATACAGCATGTAGATAAGGCCAGAATTATGTCCACGTGGTTGGTATGACTGTTGAGAGGAAGGCAGATGTTCGAAATAGAAATGTGATTGTTTTTTGAATATTCGTAAGAAAAGTAAGTAATAAACACGAATCAGAAACAGGCATTGGTAGTGCAGCATGAAGCTGAAATTATTCAAAATTTAGATTTCACAGTTAAGCCCATGTTGGTGATATGAATTCCGAGAAAAGGAATGATGTTCCAAATAGAAATGTGATCGGTTTTTGAACGCTCTTAAAGAAAAGTAAAGTAAAGCATGAATCAGGTATAGACATTTTGTAGTGCAGCGTGTAGAGGAAATTATTCAAATTTTAGAGATAAGAGAGAAAGAGAATAAGGAGATCATGAGTGATTTGTAACAAGGCAAGCTGGAAAAGTTTAAAATGAGACAGAAATCTCCCGACGTCCTGCTTTCCACTTCACATTTGGCAAATTGCGCGGATGCATTAGCAGAGCGTAAAGTAGAGTGGAGCAGTGTGCATGTGCTCATCGTCAATTATTCTGCCCACACACGATCATGAGCGAAGGAGGTGAGAGTTGAGAGAATTCAGCGAAATTGAGAGGAAACATGACATGATGGAACCTCCAAAAGAGACAGCGATGAACGGTAGGACAGTCAGTTCGTTCAAGAGCAAGTGCGTCTACGCCAAGGTCCGTCGTGCAAGGAAAGAAAAAGCTAAAAGGACAGCTGTACCGATAGAGTCTGAGATCGTGACCGGTATCGCGGCGGATATCTGAATGCCTTCAATAATCCAGAGCATAGGCGCATGACATTGATGAAGAGTGATAGTGGATGCAGTATAAGGCTGACAGAAATCAGGTGTTATGAACTAATGCATGGTCAAGTGTCAACAGCTGGTGATTGTTGAGTCGGCATCTTTGAACAACCTAACAAATTCCCTGCATTCAAGAGGTCTGCTAAAGGAGATAATACATCGCCTTCAGATGCCTACCTGCCTGCTCGGACGCACAAACCTACTGGAGCACGACTGCCGACAAATTATGGGCCAAAGGCAATCACGAGCCTCCCACAAGATCTTCAAGTTGAGATGCGCTCGAGGGTGCGCGAAAGATTCTCTCGCGGTAATTGCAATGCTGTAGACGGTGCGTGGACGTGCAAACTTACTGACTACTGACAAGTCAACAGCATTTACGCTCGCTGTTCAAGCCCAGACGAACTCGTGGGCGCGGAAAGGCTGTCGTCCCGGCCGATTTCGCAAAATGCAATGCAGTAGACGCTGCGTGTCCCCTTCGCTTTGAAGCCGGGGTACAAACAGAGGCTCCAAGCGCACAAAACTACCAATGACAATCACGACCCTCCCACAACCTTTTTTCAAACTGAGACTAGGAGGCACTAAGGAGGTGTTTTCGAAATAAAGTAAGTCGCTCAGTCGCAATTTCTCCCATTTACACATGAAGAAAGTAGGGGC